ATTATTTTGTATAAAGATTATTAATGAATTTGATTGTAACATAATTAATAATTAATGGAACGGAATTAATTACAAAACACAATTATTATAGAATGAAATTCATAATAAGAAGAAAATCTGTTTTAAGTTGAAACTTAAGGATTTTGAAATAATTCAATTCGTATATGTATATAAAATATAAGTGAAATCAGAGTCTTACTATATATTTTAGTATATTTTAATCCCAAAATTGAAAAATATTTAATCTGACACAATACAAACTAGGATACTTAATTATTTATTTTTTATATTAGAATTAACAAAAGTCTTGAACTTATATTTACAAATATTCTCACAAGCTATTCTGATAAGAATGGCAAATATATAACAGCAAATATGGAACAAATCAGCTTCAAATGAATAAGCCAAAATTACTTTTTCTTCTTAAAAATCCCTCAAGATTCAATTACATGATTCCTAGATGTCAAAACTTCAATTATGCAGTTTTATATTTTCTGTTATAAAAAAAATAAAAAATTTATCTCAGCACAAAACTAATTTGTATGTGTAATGGAAAGGAATGAAGCCTAAAATGAATCATAAAATCTTTTCCCTACTCCAAATTGAAATATATCAGTCCATGTGTCCATGTATGATTTATTAACACATTAGATAAAATAAATCTGCTGATTCAGTTTTTTTTTTTGTAATTTTTGCACACTTTTTCTGTTCTTCAATTGCTTGTGAAACGGCAAGATAATATTTTAAACTTACCACAGTTTATTACTCGATTTTGGAAATTAACGTGATCAGGTGTAACAGTGGCTTTTCATATAAACATTAAAGGGAAATTCGTTGAACTTGAAAAAATGTTTTCCAAATATGATTATTCGGCATATCGTCTGAAAGCTCAACAAATTCTCAAGTGTTTCTGTTCAAAAGCTTTTTTGTATATCAATCTTTTGCGAACCAAAAATCAAAACTCATTCAAAATGGGTGGATACTTCTATTACTTAACGTCAAAATCGAGATTACGTGCCACAATTAAAAATAAAAAAATTTAAATGAAAATATTGATTACACATAAATAAAATTCGATTTTTATTAACTATACAATATAACAGTTATATAAAAATATAATTAGGATTTAAACATTAATTATTTTCAAAAGCCTTCTGAATTTATGATTCATTTTGCTTTCTTGCAACATATTTGAATTTTGATTACAAAAAATAATATTTGCAAGTTAATGACATTGTGTAAAATAATTTTAGTGGGTAAAAGGAAAAATCGAATTTGTAATTCATTTTCATTTTTCTAATTATAAGAAAATTTCTATTTAAAAGTTATAATGTCATGAGAAAGTCACGTTATCTCTACAAAATTAAAAGTTTATTCGTGGAAATAATTGTATGTATACATATATAATATTGTACTCATGTACATACATATGTATGTATGTACATAAAATATTCTTGATATAGAAATTTTAATGAAAGTCAGTTTTCACCCAAAAAAATATTCTTACATTATTCAAATTAAATTCTAAGTCTGTATGTATATGTGTATAAATAATCTATGTATGTATATATTTATGTATTAATAAAACAAAACCAAAAATATTTAGGGAAATCAAATTGTTAATGAATTTTTATTATCATAAAAATATTCATAATTATTATTTTGTACATGAATTTTTCGTAATGATTTTTATTATTATGACGTAAATTGCTTTGATTGATATTTAATTAAAATAATTCGATTAATATCGAATTATTATCGTAGAAATAATAATAATAATTATAATATATTATTATATACATAGCTACATACATATAGTAAAATAATTTATTTTCAATTTAATCAACGAATAATAATAATATTATTTTTGTGCGAATTTGTTATGTAAATGAATTGAAATGAAATCAAAAATCAATTTATGAAATTTGCATTAAATATTAAAATATTTTTATTAATAAATATAAAAATTTTCCTTATATTTTGATTTCTGTATAAAAAACTAAGCTTATTAACTAAATTTATTTTATTCCAATTCCCTCTAAATTGCAAGAATTCCATTTGTTTTCAATAGACACACCAACATACAATATACAACTGTATAATGTTGTACTGAGTCTAATAAACTAGCTGAACCTGTGAATTTTAAAATGTTAAATCTATGAATAATTTTCAATATTAATTTGTGTTCAATATATACAACTGTTATACAACAATATTAATGTTACTGTTATACAACAATAGAAATCAATAATCTGATCATTTCAATATTCTGAAATAATTTCTATAGAAGTCAATTATTCTAGCAAGACTAAACAAATAATTTTATAAGAATAAATATTTTTAGTAACACTAAGAAAATCAATTACAAAGAAAATATGGAATATAAATACGGCATTGACTGATTTTTAACAAAAAGGCTCAAAAAGAAGTTACTTTTGAATATTTCAAAGTTATTCTCAATTCTAGTGAAAATTATTATAATATCTAAGACCGAATTTTAATAACCAGGGACTCTGAAAAAGTAAAGCAAAATAAAAATTTTGGCTCCCTTTTTAGGCGTCACAAAAAAGTGATAAGCAACTACTAAATCAAATTTTAAGCAAAAATTTTGATTTCAAAATGAATTCGAAACCTCAAAAAAATTTCCCATGTTATTTTACTTAGGGGATTTTAATATAATTTCTTTGTATTAATTTATCGAGATTATAAGTAGAAGAAATTTAAATTTTATAAAATATGTATGTGAAATAAAAATTATTTTAATTCGAATGACTAAATAAAATTATACGGGAATTAAAAAATATTTAATTTATAAATTTTTTATACACCAATTTATTATTTTTCTTTACACATTTTATTTCTTTTAATACAAATATTTAAATAAATATTTTTTTGTTTTAAATAAACATTAAATACTTGTTATTCAAATCACATTTTATAGTTTTATGCAATTTAGAAAAAAAAATGGTTAAGTTAATTAAATTTTAAATTTTTAAAATGTCTCCATAATTCATTATTTAAAATATTATTATTTTTCTATTAAAAATCTGTGGTGATAAGTAAGAATCGCTTAAGTTTAAGTGATTTAATTTTACAGAAAAAGTAGTTTTGTTGCTTAATTTTGCAGGCACAATAACCGGATTTGATCCTCGAAATATTCTGTTACATTCGTTTAAAATATACTATGTGAGTATTTATATTCAAATGTAAGTTTTACAGTACAATCTCTATAATAATTAAAAATCCATGACATAGTCAAAGACGGATTTTAATACATAAATATTATAATCATAATGTTTTTATATTAGAAATACAAAATATTAAAGAACGTTAAAGTGAAATAGGAGGAATTCGATTTAAAAACAGAAGTTCAAGTAGTAAAAGGTAAGTATATAATATCAAGCAAATAAAAAAATTCCGGAACTATATTACGATTAATAATATATTGCAAATATTCCAAAATTACTGACATATTGCGAGAGCATTACAAGAATTACGGTTCTTATAAGCCACAAGACCGACTACAGTATAATTTTCCATGTTATTTTATAGCAGTTTCCAACTTTATTATAAAAAAAATCTTATGTTTATAGTTTGCGATGCGAGATTTAAGTTAAGATTTTTTGAAAGGTAGGTTTGTGGCTATTTCCCATTATCACCACACAAATTATAAATTTAATTGAATTTTAAATATTACAAATAAAATAAATGCAGGAATTTTATTTAGTTTCCAATTTATATATTCATATAATAAATGATATAATATTATTGATTTATAATTATTAAAATGTAGTCATGATAATATAATACACATACATATGTACATAGAGTATATTATGTAGTTTTTCATAAAAAAAGGTAAGCCAATTTAATATGGTCGATAATTCTAATGCATCATTGCATTTTATAATATAAAATAATATTAAAATATTATTCCAATTCAAAATAAATATTTATTTTATATACATATTTGTATAAAATAAAAATAAATTTGGTTTTAAACAAATATTAAAAAAAAATAATATTAATGTTGACATAATTTTAATTTTTGACCCTTATGAGAATAATATTTTTGATTTCAATAATACTTTCCTAACATAAAACTTTATAGCCTATACATATTATATGAATAATAGAAATTTTAGTATGAACTATGGAAGACAGTAAATGAAGATATATTATAAGCTTTTGCTTGAACATTTCCACCAAATTCAGCAATTAATACTGTTGAAATTTTAAACGCGAATGGAATTCATTGAAAAATTTATTCGTCAAAAAAAAAAAATTACTGTTCTTCTAAAAGTTATACGATCCATCGAAGTCCTCAAAACACAATTTTCCGATCACTTATTTGTCCCAAATTTCAACATTGTTTTTAAGTTTTGCTATATTGAACATCGAAGGCAATTGCAACCTGATTTAGTTCAAGATCTTCTTTCTTACATTAAATTAATTATGTAGGGCAATATATGTATGCATTCATACCTTAATGTTGTTTCAATATTTTCAAATGTATTTGAATTTAGTGCGATTCGCACTTGGAGGTTCTAATGTATGAACAATACATAAATTGTAGCCAGATAAATTGTAGCCAGAGTGCGGGTAGTTTTAGGGTTGCAAAGGGGGTAGCACAGCGTAACGCAGAGGGTGGTATCCAGATAACTCTCCAAGCTTCTTGCTACTCAATTCCAATTCTCAGCCTTCACGTGGCGCAACCTGCTAAGCTGAGTAACTCTTACAAAAGATCGGGTAACCAACCCCGGTGGAGTAGTTCGAGTCAGTGAACAAATGAGAATGGGAGATCGCTTTGATGAAGCTACTTCAACATGGGTGATTTAAAGGTTCATCAAGGGTTACAAGGTCAGGTAGGATCTTGTAATAGGAAGTGACGTTGGTGGCGGCAGCGTTATTCCACAGCTTTTGAAGTTACTACCTTGGCGTCAGGTGGCAACCGGCCGTAAAAATTTTTAGCCGAAAAAAACACAAACTCCATGATGAAAATGAGGTCAAACAGAAGGAAAGATTACACTAGGGCGTTCCCCAGAAGCGACGAACCAAGAAAAGTAAACAATCCAAGCATTAAGAAAGTAAAAGCAAAAATCAAAATCAGAATCGGAACATGGAACATTGGCAGTCTTACAGGACGAAGCAAGGAACTTGCTGAGATACTAAAAAGAAGAAATATAGATATATGCTGTATTCAGGAGTTGAAATGGAAAGGTGCAAAAGCACGAAAAATTGGTGAAGGTTATACAGTATTGTACAACGGTTTCAACGCAAAAAATGGTATTGGAATAGTACTCAACGAAAACATGTGTGATAAGATTATTGAAGTTAAGCGCATAAGTGACAGGCTCATGTACGTCAAAATGGTCATAGAAAATAAGATATATAATATTATGAGTGCATATGCTCCTCAAACGGGATGCGACAGTCAAACAAAGCTACTATTTTTTGAATCTTTAGAAGAAACAATGCAGGCGATATCATTAAATGAGGCTATTATTTTGTGTGGTGATCTAAATGGTCATATAGGTAGAACAAATGGTACTAATAGCCCTTGCCACGGAGGTTTTGGCTACGGACAAATTAATGAGCAGGGTGAATGGATCCTTGACGTAGCCAGCGCACATGATTTGAAAATAATAAATAGTTGTTTCCAGAAAAAAGATGAGCATCTCATATCGTATAGTAGTGGGGGCTCATGCACGCAAATAGATTATATTATGTGTAAAACTTCAAATGCACGTCAGTTTCTGGATTGTAAAATCATACCAGGTGAATCTCTTACTAGTCAACACAGACTCTTGCTAGCGACTTTCGAGGTGGACTCGTCGAACTTAAGAAATGTAAACTATCACTCGAAGAAAACAAAGTGGAACAATATATATAAAGATGAGGGAAATGCATTTATTCAACAAGTTAACCGAAATTGCGAGAGTCTAGTCAATGCAGCACAATTTATATTAGACGATGGCTGGAAAGAATTTCATAATAAGGTAAACCGTTTGGCAAGGGAATATCTTGGTACTACAAAAGGCAAATCCTATGGCAAGAAAGAAACTTGGTGGTGGAGCGGCGATGTTCAAGAGGTGCTTAAACAAAAGAAAATCGCTTTTAAACAGTGGAAAAAAGGGCCAACATATGAAAATCATGCTATCTACAAACAAACTTGTAAAATTGCGAAAAGGACCGTTGCCATTGCTAGAAACAACGCGTATCAAAAGTTCTATGAAAATCTGGAAACACCTGAAGGGCAAAACCAAATTTATAAAATCGCGACCGTTAAATATGGTACGGACCGTTAAATATGGTAGCTACCGAGGAAATAGAAATGGCCCTCAAAAGTATGAAAAATAATAAGGCGGTAGGTCCGGACAATATTCCATCTGATCTTTGGAAAAGAATGGGCTCTCAGGGGAAAGTATTACTTCAGCACATCTTCAGCAAATTAATAAAAGGCGACAAAATACCAGCTGATTGGAGAAATAGTTTCCTTGTGCCTTTATATAAAAACAAGGGCAACGTGCAACAGTGTGAAAATTACAGAGGCATAAAGTTGACATCGCATACTTTAAAAATCTGGGAAAGAGTTGTTGAGAGCAGATTGAGATCAATTATAAGGATTAGCAGCAATCAATTTGGTTTTGTAAAAAATAGTTCAACTACTGACGCAATACAAACGATGAGAATTGTCATAGAAAAATTTAAATCGAGAAAAGAAGATCTACATGTTGTATTTATGGACTTGGAGAAAGCCTTCGACCGATTACCCAGAGAAATTATATGGCAAGCCCTTCGTTATCATAGGGTTCCTGAACATTACATTGAGATAATCAAGGACATGTATGCAAACACAACAACGCAGGTGAAGAGCGGGAGCGGCTTGTCGGAAAAATTCGGGGTGGGTGTTGGCGTCCACCAAGGATCAGCTTTAAGTCCACTTCTTTTTATCACCGCTTTGGATTATCTTGCCAGAAATATCCAGGACCCGTTACCATGGACAATAATATATGCCGACGATATTGCAATTATTGCCGAATCTCTGGAAGGGCTGCAAACCAAAGTCGAGCAGTGGGCTGACGCGCTGGAAAAGAATGGTCTAAAAATAAGTCGAACGAAAACAGAATATATGCACTTGTCATTCTCGAACGAATCTTTTATAGGCCCGACGAATACAATTAAAATAAAAAGTGTACCAATACCGATAACGAATGCTTTCAAATATCTTGGTTCAACTATAACATCTAAAGGCAAAATCGATGATGACGTCACAAGTCGTGTAAATGCTGGCTGGCTAAAGTGGAGGTCGCTAACAGGAGTCTTATGCGACAAAAAGTTTCCAGTCAAATTAAAAGGAAAAATTTATAAGACGGCAGTTAGACCGGCTCTTATGTATGGAACAGAGTGTTGGGCGGCAAATAAGAAACACGAACAAAAATTACATGTCGCCGAAATGCGAATGTTAAGGTGGTCCGCGGGCGTGACGAAATTTGATAAAATAAGAAATGAGTATCTCAGAGGCACATTTAAGGTAGCCGACATTAAAGAAAAATTAGCCGAAAAACGACTGAGATGGTATGGTCACGTCATGCGTAGAGACGAGGAGCACCCTGTTAGAAAAGCACTTAACTTGCCAATACCTAAGAGAGGACCAGGTAGGCCACCATCAACATGGCTTGGCACAATCAACAAAGATATGAGTAAAGCAGGATTGAACGCGGAGACAACCCAAGACAGGAGTTCTTGGCGCCTCAGATCAAGGAGGGCCGACCCCAAATAAGGGAAAAGGTCATGAAGAAGAAGAAGAAGAAGAAGTGCGGGTAGTTTTGGTAGGTTAAAAAAAATCGGATTTATTCGACGAATAGCTTCAAAGCTGTTGAAGCTAGAGCAAAGTTGTATTCGGAAACTTTTTTATCAATTACATAAATTATCACTTAGCCTGCAAAACGGTAAGCTTTTCTTATAAGTTTTGCATATATATATATAATTTTATGTACGCATAGTAAGTTTAACAAACTTCGCAATTTCGAAATGAAAACATAAAAGTCCTTAAAAATTATTATTCCTTCAATTGATTTTAGAAATTTAAATCAAAAAATTTTGTAATTTTCTATACTTTGTCCTATAAATAAAAATTCTCATATCAATTATTTTTTAAGATTTTTATCGTTTGCTACCATTGACATGAAATAGTTAATAAATTCTTAAAATAAACATTGAACTTAATAAAGAATTTTATGAAGCAGATATAGGTAAAAGGATTTTTTATTTATAACTCTCTGTAAAAATATTTTATTAAGAAAAAAATAATTAAAATTTTGCAGATAACATTTTTATTTTTTTTATTTTTGTTCTTGTATTTTGAAGCAAAATAAAAATATAAGATCTAGAATTTAATAGAAAAGATAATTTTAGATTTGTTTTATTTCAAAAAGAACCAACAATAAAACCAAATATTCGAAAGGAGTCCTTTAAATGTGGAATCATATTAAATATAGAAGAGTCGATGTATTTGCAAATACACACCTCGAGTTGTGAAAAATATTAAACGAAATTTGTTTTGTGAAGCAAAAAAAACCTTAAAAATTCATGCATTCTTTAATTAAATATTTCAGGTTCTGTTAGAATTCAGTTAGAATTGTAAAGTTTAAAGTAAAGTTGGGTCATACCAATTAATATACTAAATTATTAAAAATAATTTATTATATTATTTAAAGTACATTTATTCATACACTAAAACTTTTTAAAAGATTGCATATATTAAGGAAAAGGCAAAAAAAAATTTAAAGAGGCGTAAGTGTTTATTGCGTGAGTTAAGAAAAATAATTATATTTTTTAAAGGCATGGCATTTGCTGTACTTTTTACATTTATAGAAATTCGGAAAAGCATGCAGTTTTGGGAACATGAGAAGCTGAAAATTTAAATTTTACAAATTTTGAAGGACGATAATTTGAGAGGAAGTCGGGGTGGCAAAATTTCAGGCTTCTATTTGTTGCTGTCTTGAAGAGAAACAATATCAAAACTAAGAAAAAAACCATTTTGTTTTTTTAAAATTCAATTATGCTATGCCATGGCAAACCCCTACTTTTCTGCGTTTGTAGAATTTAAAAATTTCTGCAAAATAAATAGTGGACAAATTGCATTTTTAGGACATTTTTAGGGGCACAACTTTTAGAGTGGTAAGATAGGTACAAAATTTTCTTCTACTGAATTGAGTTTCTAGTTAAGATCTATTTATATGTGCAGTACCAGCTTCCTATTTTAATACGAGCAAACGGAAAGATTGAAACTAATAAACACTTTTTTATTGAGAATTCTATAGCATTCAGTTTTGCTATTTCGCTATACTATCCCAGGACAGTTACACATCAAATTTGTCTCAAACAATTTTCATCAAATTAAACAAAATGTATGCAAAGCAATGTTTGATTGCGTGAATATTAGCATTTTATTCGCATACACGCAATCGTTTTAACAGCATTACTTAATATTTTAGAATTAAAAAGTAGAATTGAATCTATATAATTATAGTACATTATTTGTGCATTAATTAATCACACAATAAGTATTGCATGTTATTAATAATTGTATACCGTATATGCAATGCCTTCTGTATTAAATAAATTGTTATAAGTTTACAATCAACAAAACTCGACATTATATAATTTTAAATGGCAACAATTCATTTGTTTTCCACTTAAAATAGAAGGCTTCACTGAATTTATAAAATAAAAATCACATTTATAAAACTTTACTAAAAATCTTTAGGTAAATATTTCAAATTATTTAAATAAGAATTAAAAATGAAAAATTTTTAAATAAAGCAATTCTTTTCGAAATTGAAAATTTGTTTAACTATGGATTTGTAATTTATTTTACGAATTTTGTTTTAAATAAAAAATTTTAACAATTTTAATTTAAAAGTATGCATACATGCCAAACAATACACGAAAATTATAATACAACAATAGAAGTTTGGTTGCAATCAACAAAAAATCCTTAATATTAATTAAACTTTTGCAAATTTAGAAATTCAATCAAAACTATTTATTGATTTTGTAAAACAATGAAATTCTTTTCGTCTTCTTTTCATAATAAAATTTCCAAGTTTTTGTGCTCCTTTTGTTTTTTTTTTTTAATACGTTTTGGTTTTTTCTTGGTAGATACTTGACATTTTTAAAGTGGTACCAGCTCTTGACATACAATATAAAATTTCTGGTAGAATTAAAAGAGAAATCAACAATTTTTTTATTTATTTTTAAAATTATAAAATAAAGTTTAATTATTTTTTTTGGGAAAATTATAAAATCTTTAAAATAAATGAAAAATAAATAATTTTAATTAAACTTAAAATAATGGGTTATTTTCAAATTCTCATAATAAATTTTTTTGTGAGTATTTTATTGATTAAACTGTTTTTAAGTAAATAATATTGAAATTTGATTTTTGGTAGATTCATTATTGAACTACCGGTATCAGCAAGAGAATTGATTTTACAATATTCGCAGAATTCTCAGAAAGAAAAACTGTAATTATAATAACCGTTTTCAATAAAAGTATTCGGTTCAAAAAACGCACTTACTAGACCCCGCACTTTATAGCAGTGCTGCAAAAGGAAAATCTTTAGCTTTAATTCTTTAAGCATTTCTCAAGTTTTGCAAACGCGGAAAGGTAGTGGCTTGCTTCTCCTATCGTGGCAGACTATAGTTAAACTTTAAAAAAACAAAATGACCGTTATCTAAAATCCGTTTTTTCTAAATTTTTGATGTCGTTTTTTTTCTATACCACAAGTTGCAAAAGTCTGAAATCGTAGAAAACAGCTGTTAGACACTAATAAATATTTCATTTCGTTAGAAGAAAATTTTTTTCCATCTCCACCCCCTCTCAAGTTATCGCTCCCTGAAATTTGTAAACATTGAATTTGTGACACCTTATACTTCTGAAACCGCAAGCTTTTTCAAATTTCTATAAACGCAGAAAGCTAACGTTAAATTCCATGCCATTAAAAAATATAATTATTTTTCTCAACTCACACAATTAACCCTTAAAATTGAGCATTATGTTAACCTCTCTTTTAATTTATTTTTGCTTTATTTCAAAGACTGCATAAATCGTTCATCCTAAATATGTGCAATCCTAGAAATAGTTTCGCATATGAATGAAAATAATTTTAACTAAAGTGTGGTAGCTATACATAGACTGTTTTTAAAAGCGATATTTTCAATGTTAAAGGGAAATACAAAGCATTGGTTTGACCAGACTTTGTTCAACTTCATTTTGATTCAAAATAACAAACTCAGTGTA